TTGAACCAAGGTGCAATATTATCCTATAAGCGTAGGTTGCAATCTTTTGGATAGACATGGACACTGTACTATAAAGCAAAATACTCTTGAAATTCAGTTCCTCGGATAGCAAAGTATCTTCCATGTCCAATCACATAAACCCCTAGTAAAATATTGCCTTTCCCTCTACACCAGCTAATAGGAGTTTGCTTATTTTTGTTCCAACCTTCTAGATTTTGAAAGCTGGGAAAAAACTTAAAACCAACCTAACATTAGGCTATTTATTTATTTATCAAAATTTGTAAGTCTACTTGATTCCATAGCAACTCTAGGTCATGTACAATATTAAAAGCAAATTAGCAATAACAGCTAGAGAAGAAAAATGTTGAGCATCCAGAAAGAGTAAAATCAGCACCTTCCCACACATACAATATTCCTACAACAGACCCACCACCCAACGTATCCCAAGGCCTGGGTGAAGAATCAGGTTTTAAGACCCTTTCTAAATGAGGCCAAGGTAGGGGAATACAAATCTCCCGGGGGAAGCTGTTTCAGGAGGCAGACACCATGACAGAGAAGGCTCGCTTCCTAAGTCCCTTCAGATGACACTGTTTAATTGATGGAACCCAAAATATTTCAACTGTGCCAGATGAAACAGGATTGTCAGACATTACTATTAAGCCTAATATGAAGCATTAGGGACTTCAGATGTGTCCTACAGAAAGAATATAACTCCTAGATTTGGGGGGTGGGGTAAAAATTTAAAATGAAAACTTTTGCTATAATAATATTAGACAGGATTGCAAAATATTTTTCCATTCCAGATCCAGATAAACTGTAAAGCCTTGATAAACTGTGAAGAAATTTTATAAAGTTTGAGAGGAGGGCTAGGATGAGCAAACAGGAAAGGGAAGTTGCACTAGTGAAAGTTGTAAGAAAAACCCTTTTCCATACTTTAAAATCAGCCAAATTCTTGGTTCCATGGGATATATCTATATTACCATGTCTAGTATTCTCAACACAAGAAAGGGGCCAAGAAGCAATCAGAAATCCAGTTTGCTTTTTTTGCTTCCATTGCATTTCCCCCTGATATTTGGGATTTGTATTTTTATTCGCTGTACTTATTTTGTTCAGTCTTATTCTTGTCTTAACTGCATTTAACTTAACTGCATTTCATGGCTGGAGAATGGTCTATGCTTTTTAAGAAGACCTGAACACAGCTGGGTAGGCATACATTTCTATAATTTGGTATCTTTCAAAAAACCTTCATCGCAACTTGTTTCCTGCTATGCCAAACACAACCTGGCAATCTGGATTTGGAATGATTGGTGGTTAAGTTGCATTGGTTTTGGTGCCCAGTTTTCATTTAAAGTTTAAAAAGCACAGAAGACCTGCCAAGTTTTAAGTCACTGGAAGACTGGGTGCATATGCGTGTATTCACACAGACTCCCTGAGCTTCCATCTCCTGGGCTTCCAGCAGTGTTGTCAATTCGCATATGTTTACTTACAGAGCTTTGCTATGCAATTCCTCCTAAACCAAACTATTTGCTAATGGAATTAAGTTTAATTAATTATCTGGAGTAGGCGTTATTCTCTGTTTTTAATAAAAGCAATCTGGGCTTTGTGGAAAACAGTGGAAG